TTTATGCTCGTCCCTTTTTTCCCCCCCCCCCCCCGATGTTTGCTATTACATAGTTTAGTCATTTAATAGGTCTCAAAAGTGCTATTTCAGTCCCATACCCTCCCTTAACGTTATTCTCATTGCTGCCATTTCAAGAATGTTGCATGTGAGAGCTTTTTGTCCAGTCTCTTGGTCTGTTTAACTGGGTCTGAATCCAGGCTTGCTGAAGCTGCCATCCAGAGCTGTTCGAACTGTGCCATTTTTCTTTCAGGTCTGTGAGCAGGAGATGTACTTCCTTGATTATCACAGCTGCAGAGGATAAGATTCTGGTTGCAGACAAATCTGGTGATGTCTATTCTTACTCAATAACAGAACCCCAAGCAGATGGAAAACTTGAGCTGGGTCACTTGTCTCTGCTGTTGGATGTGGTAAGTATGTGCCTCCTTGCAGTTAGTGTACAAACCTGCATTCCTGCTTGTGTTTGGGTCTTTCAGCATTGCTCTTGTCCTACATTTGGGGGTTTGTTTTTTTTATATAAATGAAGTATGTGGTCTGGATTTCTTCCTACTGAGTTTGTATCTGCAGAGTTTGGTAAAGAAACAAGCTTACCAAAGGGTTATCTGTTCTGGGAGTGTGAGTGTTCAAAAAGTCTTCATGTTACAGTCACAGAAGACTCGGTGGTGGAATATATATGGGAATTCACCCAGTCTGTCATGTCAGTTGGGCTCTTCAATGTGATAAGTTTCTTTCTTCTTAAGATGCAGTGGGACTTCTGCCTGTACCATTGGAGCTCAGTAGCTTTCACTGAACCCAGTAGTTGGTGTCACTTGTCTTAGTGAGCGAGGAAGTTACTGTTGTAAAGGTTTATGCTTTCATTGTCAGGGGAAAAGCGTGGCTTAATGTTTGCACCTGCCATTCAGAGTCAAGAGAAACAGATAGTTTACTGCTTATCTTTATTTTTCCTGGTTAGCAAGAATTATATTAAAACAAACATTGAACTACTGGACGCTATAACTCTCCCTTTACCAACAGACACTGAGTCCTGATGACCAGTATATCCTAACTGCAGACAGAGATGAGAAGATCAGAGTCAGCTTGGCAAAGGCTCCTCATAATATTGTATCCTACTGTCTGGGACACAAAGAGTAAGTTTGTTGTGTGCAGAATTTATTGCGTGCTGGTCTTCACTGTGCCTCAGTGGATGAAATGATTGTCTCCTCAAATCATATTAAACAACAGCTAGGTCTATGTCGGAATCACAGAAACATAGGATGGTTTGGGTTGGAAGGGATCTTTAAAAGTCATCTAGTCCAGCCCCCTTGCAATGAGCAGGGACATCTTCAACTAGATCAGGTTGCTCAGGGCCCCGTCCAACCTGACCTTTAATGTTTCCAGGGATGTGGCATCTCTCTGGGCAACCTGTTGCAGTGTTTCACCACCCTCATTGTAAAAAATTCCTTATATCTAGTCTGAATCTATCCTCTTCTAGTTTAAAACCATTAGCCCTTGTCCTATCACGTCAGGTCCTATTAAAAAGTCTGTCCTTTCTTATAAGCCCCCTTTAAGTATTGCAAGGTTGCAATAAGGTCTCCCGAGAGCCTTCTCTTCTCCAGGCTAAACCACCCCAACTCTCTCTGCCTGTCCTTATAGGGAGAGGTGTTCCATCCCTCTGATCATTTTTGTGGCCCCCCTCTGGACCCGCTTGAACACGTCCATGTCTTTCATGTTTTGAGGGCTCCAGAGCTGGGCGCAGTACTCCAGGTGGGGTCTCATCAGAGTGGAGTAGAGGGCCAGAATTACCTCCCTCAACCTGCTGGCCACAAGAGAATCCAAAGCCCGGAGATTGTTAGTTCAGGATGGAGCCTACCTTAGCCTTAGGAAAGGAAATCTTAGGAAGTCTTTGTGGCTTGAACAGACGCTAATCTAATGGCATCTCAATGCAGAGCTCAGACTTGGAGGTTCTGTGGTAATGCAGAAAAACCTGGCTGTATCAATAGGAAGGATAGAGCACTCTTCCTGCCTGGACATTAGACTGCAGTGAGCTAGAGGGTGCAAAATGGTCCCATAAAATAGATTCAAGGAATCACGTTTTTTAATGTAGTTACCTGGCCTTTCTGGTAGCTGAGAAAAGGGACTTGGTGTTTTACTTGAGATTGGTTCTATTGCTATGAGGAGGAACACTCAGGCAAATAGAAGGATCTGTGGAAGGTGGATCATAGGGGATATCCCTGTAGAAGGATGATGTGCTGCTGTGTTACTAAGTCCAGTAAAACGTAGGGTTCACTCTGCATCAAAACAGGAAGGATGATCTTGCCTTTCCCTTCCTTTCCTTTCTCCTCCATCCTGAAGTAAAAGTCCTAATTACAGTGATCTAAAGAGTGGAAGGCAGCAAAACAACCTGCTAGCTACACTGATGTGATTCAGATGTACTCTGACTTGCTAGGAGACTGGTAGTTCTTTAGGAATAGGAATGGGGGTTGTCTTCAAGCCAGTTTATCAGGACTTCCTTTTCAGCCTACAGGAGGGACTGTACTTTCCCTTTTCTTCTCAGTAGTCCTTTTCCCATGAAGAAGACTGATATGGCAAATAAACTTTTAAAAGACTTTTCCCCCTACATTTTGCTGCTTAAAATGTCTATGAATTGTGGTATTTTCAAAGTCTCTTGCCTTTGCCTTCCACAAAACCACATAGAGGTGGGCTTTTGAAGGCTTTTTGTTGTTGTCAGTTGTTAGGGTTTTTGAGTAGGGTTGGGGGGTTGTGCAAGGGTTTTTTTGTGTGTCCACTGCTACATTTTGAAGTCCACAGTGACAAGGTAACAGAGAAGACATGACCCTGCATAGGGCTGGCAATGCATGTAATTCTGCTTGTCTGGCCACTGAGTTACTTGGGGATAACACCCTTCCAGGCACGTTCTTTCATAAGATGATGCAATGTGGTACAGTCAACTCACTATATCAGAAACAAGACTTAAAGAAAGATGATGTGACTAGAGAACTTGAGATATGGGTAAACTTGCCCACCAAGGTGTTTTAATAGAGCATTTAGGACACAGGTTAATTTGGAGTGTCAGTTTGATTTTAATAACATCATTTGGTAGTCTAACCTGTGTAGAATTGGCATAGTACAAAAGCAAGAGACTACTCATGTTAAAGATCTAAGTAGTCTTTGATCAGGTCAGTTTCTGTAGCATATTTACAGAGCCATGTCTGATGTTCCACCTACTGTGTACACAGTTGTACTTTCTAATGAACAGAACTTGATGGTTCGAAGGACACATTTAAATCGGGGCTGTTGTGTCTGCACAAAGAGTTAGTTAGCGGCCACAGAGTGGAAAAGCACTTAGTGTAAATTGATTGAAATATTTTTAAAAAATCAATATTTAAATTAGGAACGAATAAGCAAAGGATTACATAAAGCAGCTATAATTGTCTTGTTTCACGCTCCTGGGTTTTCTTCTTTCAACGGGGTGCATGGTGATTCTTGCTGGATCTATTATGCCTGCATGCACCTGCCATTACTGCTTTGTCATGAAAGTTTGTATTACAGTGACCAAATCTATTCCTTCTATTTTTTTCTCTTTCTTTTTTTATTGGCCTCAAAATTATGTCTGTTTTCAAAAGCGAGACTGTCTCACTTAGGTAATGTTTTGCTCAGGTCACTATGTTTTTAGTTGCCGAGCTCTAAGATAATAACGAACTCCAGAAGTTCAGGTCCTCATTACTCAGCAAAGACAAGTCATGGTAGACACAGCAGTATTACATACTTCTGAAAAACAAGGTTTCTAGGTGAATGTAGACGCTGGTGGTAAATTGCCACATGTTTGTTTTAAAATTTTGTAAAGATTGCTTTTGAATGATCTCCAAATGTGATGGGAGAGATCTGGTACTCTGAAAGCTGAGTCATCACTGTTGTGTTTTAAAAGCATCTGTTGATTCATGTTTTTAATGTGCATCATGAATTGAGAAAGGGGAATGTGCTACCCAAGTAACTGTGTCTCCATTGGCATTTTTTGGTCTAAATGGCAATGTTCTCAGTCGGGAGGAAGTCAGTACTATTCCTTGAGTGCAGAAGGGGAAATACATTTTTTTCTATTAAGTAGAAAGTCAGTAGTTTGTGTAGTATATACACTGTATTAAGTACTGTAGACATATTTTTTTCTTCCTCCTAAGTAGCTTGATGTGGAGAATCTGCTTGTTTGTTTGTTTATTATAAGGTTCTCTTTAAAACTGGTGTTTTCTCTTACTGCGTGTGTGTAAAGACCAGAGTGTCATGCAAGAGAGTTCAACTTTTGACTACTTTCCCTTTAGGTTTGTAAGCAAAATACTTGTAATACCCAACTATCCTGATCTGCTGTTGTCAGCTTCTGGGGTATGTATTGCAATTTCTTCAAAAAAGTATTTTTCTTGAAAATTTAGACTTTAAAACCATTGTTTGCTTGTGTTTCCTGCAAGTTGCTTTGGATACTTGGAATAATCTGTCATGGTTTACAGCATGCCCTCTCTCTCCCCCCTTTCTCAGCTTTCTGTTCAGTGTTCAGTCATTCTATTGCTAGATCATATAAGAGCTGTTTACTGTGTTTATAGCAAGGCTAGCTTCTTATTAAGATCTTTGGGATGAAGGAATCACAAAGTCCTTAGTATTTCTTCATCGTTAACTCTTGCTTTGGAGCACAGATAAACTTTAATCATTGGACTATTAAACAACTTTGAAGCAAATGGGTATTATGCCAGCCTGCCATGACAATCAGTGTCTTGAGAATGAATGGCCTTATAATCACAGATTTATTTAATTTTTTTTTTAGAGCTTTTAAGATGAGAAAATTGTTCACTCTACACCCTCCCACTTGCTTTCCCCTGTGAGACTTGTTCTGAGTTATGTTCCTTGTCTGTATGTCCTCATTGTATGTCCAGTGCATGTTGTGCAGAGATTGCAGTGCAGTGCTACACAGTGCTTGAATGAGAACTGAAGAAGTGAGTGTTTCCTCCTTTCCCTCCCACCAGCCCTTTCCTTAAATTGATGGCATTCTGCTCTTGTGCCAGACCTGTACAGAGTGAGTAGATGGAGTTGGTCTAGAAGAAGGGAGACAACATTCTTTGTTTCCCAGACTACCAAAATTGCATAGGAAACAGATAATGTTTTCTGTGAAGATGTGAAGATCATAGTAATACTTAGCATTTGGTTTCAGCTGCTGCTCTTGCTTCCCTAAGGCTCTTGGCTCTTGTTCCTCTAATTCTTCAAGCAACTCTAGTGTTAGTGCTGTGTTCGGCTGTATTTCATTCTTAGCAAATGCTCTTTGATGACTCTAGCTTCTCTCCAGGAGGTTACTAAATCAAATGACAATTTGGGTGATAACAAGAGTAGGGGCAGAGAAGGGCAACCTGAAAGAATGGCCATTAAAACGCTGAGCACATGTATTACTGTGCTATTTGAGACAGACTTGAAATGCACTCCTCCAGCTACCCAATTTCCACTTCAAAAGGAGAATTAAAGTTAGCATGATTGAATAATTTAGAATGGAGGGGGAAAATTATGTTAATTAAAATGCTTTATCTGCAATTTGAGGTCTTAACTAAGTGACTATTTAGCAGCTTCTGTGGGAAGCTCTTCAGGGAAATGGGATTTAGCTGAAGGCCATGAGTGGCCTCTCTTTGCCTGAGGTGCTGTTATTAATAGACTTGTGTCTGCTTCCATCTGTCCAGGACTTGACACTGAGACTTTGGGAGTACAAAAGCGGAGAAGAAGTGTACTGCTGTCATCTAAGTAGCGTCTGTGGGCCTGAGACAACCAAAACTGACCAGGTATGCACATTTGTGTTAGTGCTTTTGCTAACCTCCAGATCCTTGTGACTCCCAAACGGATTTGTTGCATTTTGTTAGGAGTGCCTCCCTTCTGATGGTGGGTTTTGAAGTTGTGTGGGATCTAGAATCTGTTACAATAGCCTGGAATTTCAGGAAAGGAAAAAAGTCCCTGAAATGCATTCCTGTGTCTTCTGTACATTTCTAAAAAGTACCAAGCAGTGACCAAAAGAAGCTGTTTGTAATTCTTCCCAAATACAAGTTCTGCACACTGGACAAAGCCTTCACTAGAAAATTTTTCCAAAAACACAGGTGACTTTGTCTCTTAGCCAGCAAATATCTTGTAACACTGGAAAGATCTAAAAGTTCACCCAGTTTTAAAAATACTTAGAATTTGAAGTGTTAAAGTTGCAATTTATCTGAGCAAAAAGAAGCTTTGTAACATTTGTAACCAGTCACCTGCAATAGTACTGCCTGGTGGAGTCAGAACACTGGGCTTGTTCCTTTGGCTTGTTCTGAAGCTGAGTAGTGTCCAAAATTAAAATGTGTGAGTCCTATGTGAAAACTGAATACCCCAGGAACTCTCCTTAGCTTGAAGCCTGTACATGACTGGTGTCATACATACACGTTTGGGGTGCTACTGTGATTTGGGATGCTAATCTGATGTGAGCAGTGGTTCTGGTAGTAACTGATGTTTGGTTTTGTTCTTTCTTGTCATGTGAATTGGCATACGACCTATTAGCAGTGAAACAGTACACATTCTTGTCCCTGCTGTGTACATCATATTAAGCCAGCTGCTAATCTGTTGTGTCATTTAGGAGTTGTTCATCTTATCACCCATCCTGCTGGGTGTTATTTTCATGTGAATCTCTAAAAACACTTCTTTCTCTGAAGACCACAGCTGTCTCCCAGTTGTTAGGTGACTGGGAAGCCTGTAGCCGTGCATGGTTCTTGAGGCAAATCCACTCTGGAATTCATATCCAGGCTGAAATGGAATTGAAAAGTTCTGTCTTTCCTCCCTTGTGTTTTGCTGTGGTTTTGGTTAGTCGAAGTGTGTTGTGCTTGGCCTCTCCCAGCAGTTGGGAGCCATTCGTGGGGATCTCTGAGATTCTTTGCTGTACGTGTAGGTCTGGCCTGATCTTGTTAGTGGGATTCCTAGTTAATGAAGTGGGAGCACAACCTATGGGAAGCTCCTAGGGACAGACCTGACAACTCAAGGTTTCTTCTGTGTAGAAGACATCAGCAAGTTGTTCTTTGTGTTGGAGTAATAACGTGTAACTTTCTGTCCGTGCATAAGCCCAAGAAGGCAGCCACTTGCATCACAGCATTCAAAGCTTACATACTGGAAATGTTGGTTTTGGCCTAGAGTTCCTGTTAGCAGGAGTTCAGGGTAGTATATATATGTGGACAATTTAGCCTGCTCCTGAACTTGAAAGTATACTTTAAAGCACACCTGAGCCAGAGACCTCTTGTACACATTCACAAGGTCTCGGACCCATTTCAGCTTGAGTCTAGTGCTTGAACTCTTTGAAGTAGCTATTTCTGGGTTTTTTCACAAGCAAAAAAACGGGTGTACCAAATTGGGGGACAAGCCCATCTGGCTGGTATCCTCTTACAGTCTGGGCGCAGCAGGATTTGAGTGAGGAATGGATAGTTAACATTGAGGCAAACCTACAAATTTACTTTACCACATATAGCCTTCTGGAAATAAGTGGACTGGGGAGTTTCAAAGCCCAAGTGTTTTATCTTTGTGTTCAAAAGTAGCTCATGAATTGAGTGCTCTGAAACAACATGGTTTGATAGACATTGAATCCATGTCTGCAGTAATGTTGCAAGGTATTTCTTTTGGAGAGAAGAATGGTTTTATTTTAAAATACTTTGTCTTTTAGCTTTATTGGATTATTGAGGACTAATAAGCAACTAGATGTGAAGTGGGGAATCTTAATATTAATTTTCAAAATGTTACTTGTCGCTTAGACTGGCTTAGCATTTAGTAAGATAGTTTGCATGTAAATTAACGTGCTTGATCTCACACTGAATCCTAACTCCATTGCTTACAAACAAGTTTATAAAAAATATTAAGTTATATAATAAACCTTGAACGTAGTATTGGATAAACTAACACGTTAGAGGAAAAAAACCTTGGTGCTGCAAGCAAGAGCTATTTAAAAAATTATCTCCAACTGTCTTAGAATGTTTTTGAAGGCTTTTAAATGTAGTTTAGTAATACTTGCCTTGTGTCATAACACCTGATGAAGCCCCTTCCATGTGATAGTCTTTATGCTGATGGAGTCTCTCAGTAGAAACTTGGGGTGCCCTTTGACTGAGGAATCTTTGTTTAGCTGCTTTACCTCGGTGTGAGTAAGCAATGACAGAAAGGGAAAATCCACAAACTGTGGGTTAATAAATGTAACACAGTGGTTAATAAACTATTCCTGCGGTGTTTTGCAGTTCTTCTCTCCACTGCTCTATGTGTCTCTTAACTGTGGTCTTGGAAGCCTCAGGCTGGCCTGTTCCTTGAATCTGTGAAATTCTGCTTACTGCCCACTCTTACAGGTGTTTTAAAATCTGTCTCTGATGACACTAAATTTGCACAATGCTTGAGGGGTGCAAAAGACTCAGTTGACTTCCAGATTTCATATGTACTTGGAACAGTGATCAGACAGCGTCCCAGGGTTTACAGAGAGATAAAGGACAGATGTAAACCTTAATGCGGTGCATTGCCACCTTTGTGCTGTATTGCTACACAGGTGTCAATATGTACTTCTTCTAGAACAGTTACTATCTTGATGGCCAGCAGGACCAAAGGGGAAAGGAGACTTGGGTTTTGCTGGCATAACAGTGCTAGAAATGCCAGAGATGATCTCTGGTGGTAGTATTTAGCCATGCTGTGCATCCAGGTGTATCAAAGATCATCTTCAAAACCGAGTGTGACATTTATAGTCTGAATTTAAGGGAAAAATCTCTTGAGTCAGCACTTTGTAGGTTGTAACTACAACCTACAGACAGCATGCTGTCTGTAAATGACTCCGGCAGCCAAAGATCAGATGAGGACGTAAGTGTTTTTTCTTTTCTTTTGCGTTGCATTTCATTTTTACTGTTGATAACCACTGTGAATGCACTGAAGCTTGAAATGCAACTTGAAGCACAATGATAATGGAATCATCAGTAATGGTGGGTTATGTGAGCACATAAATGTGGGCTTATTTTGCTTGGCAGATGATGAATATATGTCTGTTTTGGGAATGTAGGAGTGTTTGTGAGCAGTGTAGCATTGATTTCAGCTGATGGGTTGCAGATCCTCAGTTCATTTTCCCACTAGAATGGGAGTAATTCTCTAATTTTGTAGTGCTATATAAATATTTTTCCTACTTCAGAGCTTTCACCTCATCTGATCCTCTTGATGGCAGAAGCTTGTTTAAAGTCCAGAACATGAATTGCACAACTCTACCCCAGTGCTCCAGTACATTAATTTTTCATAGGGTCACCTCTCCTTACAGAGGACATCAAAAGTTAATTTTAAGGTGTTGGCAGGCTGATAACAGTGTCATATAAATGCTGAATAAGTTCAGAGAGTATTAGGTGAACATCTGTTTATCACAGACTGCTCTTGTAGCTCTTCTTTAAGTTAACTGATTTCATAGGCTTGTCCTTGAACAAGATACTACTCTGGGGCTTGCGTTCACTTGGCTGATTGTTAACTTACCCACACATGGAGAGGAAAGAGCTTGCAAAGAAGATGTATTTTCCTGTCTCCATCCAGCTGTAAGTAACACTTGGTTCAAATCAAAAAAGCTGCTGTCTCCCTCCCCCAGTGAGGGTCGGGGAGAGCTGCTGCATACTTCAAGTTCACAGAACCCTTTGTCTCTCTGACAAAGCACTCAGCTCTGTAGGTGGCATTTCCCATCGCTACACTTGCCCTGCATTTTTGTCATGAGAGAGGCAGAGCTTTGTTATTAGAAATAAATATCAGAGGTTTGGATTTTTTTAATATATATATGTGTCTTGGCTTGTTCCCTTGAATGTCTAAAGAACCCACAATAGGTATTACAATAGGAGGTGTCAGTTCTACTCTGAATCTGTGGTGTAAGTGGCTCCATACTGCAATAACTACATTTAGATGTATTAGCTACAGAGAATGTTTCAGATTTAGCTCACTCGTCCTACCTGGTATTTGGAACCGTAAGCATTTTATGTCCATGTTAAACAGGGGTCCCGGGTCCCAATGCTAAATATGGACTAACAACTTAGTATTTCTGCAGAGTAGCAAGAAATTAGTCCCATCCATTCTCAAGAGCTCTGAAACATATCATCCTTTTGATAATGTCTTTTATAAAGTGCTCCTCTTCTGTCCAAACAGGCAATTATGTGAGTGAAAAGTGTGTGCATGCTGTTGTTCTTGCTTCCCCCCCACGAGATTGTATCACACAACAGATTTTTTTTTTTTTTTCCCCCTCATGTGCTGGAGATGCACTGTGTAACCCTGGTTTTCAGCTATATTTATACAATTAATTAAATTTCTTTCCTGCAGTTGGTTTATCTTTTAGTAGTTGCATCATGTACTGTTGACAAAATAGTTAGCTTCTGGTATTAAACTTGCTGACTTGAATATTTAGAAGCTGTACAGCTTGTTTTGCTTTCCTATACTGATTGCAAAATTCTGAAACAAGCACCCTGACAATGCCTATACATCAGCTGGTAGCTCAAAGGGTAAAATCTTGTGGTTACTTGCAAATTCAGCTTAAGCTGATGAACCAGAGGTTCTGTCTAGTGACCAGTGTTGTGTTAGGGAAAGAGGTGAAGGCTGGAAAGGGGGTAAAAGGAAAGTGGACATGATGCATCTGAATTCTGCCAGCAGAGCGTCAAGATCTTTTTTCCCTGACCTAAAGAGAATAGCTCACTGCTTCTCTAGTAGGAAGGTTTTATTAATCAGAAGTGCTGGTGTTATCGCTACTTATAAAATATACTTGAGAACCAGCCTTTTTGCCTTTACAGTTTTGTCTTTCACATTATATAACAGATACTTTTGAAAAAGCACTCTAGGGCATCTTTTTGCAGCTTCTCTGCTCCTCCCAAGTTCTTGCTTTGCACTTGAGCCTCAAATCAGTTGCTATATATTTCAGGTAGTATGGTTGTGCGGCAAAGGTATTTCTCTGATTCTCTTCCACATAAAACTATGTATCTTTTAAATCAGGAGTGTGGTGTGGGGTTTTTTTGTTGTTGTTGGGTGTGGGAGTTTGTTGTTGTTGTTTTGTTTTGGTGTGTTTTTTATTTTAATGAGGAAAATGACTTCAGGCAGTCTTGCCTTGTTCTTCAGAACACCAGAGACAACGCAGCAAGGATATTAGCTATGCATCACTATCTTCTTTTTTTAACAAACATAACAGCAGCTAATGGCTTGTGTTTATAATCTCTAAGCTGCTAGTGTGATATTCTAGCTGAGCAGGCTTAATGTTGATGGTTTTGCCATTAGCAGTGCAGGAGAGAATATTTGAAGGTGGTGTACATTTCCTTCATCTGTTAGTTTGTCTATTAAGAGTAGTTCACTAAAACCTTTACATTTGATCTCTGTTTGGATGGCTGTGAAGGGAGAAGCGTGGAAAACTTCATAAAACAGCAAACACTGGTACAAAAATATACTTGACTGCAGTTTAGAGCTAATTATGTTGCTTAACTTGCTGTAAATTAAGACATCTGCTAAATTTAAAGGCTAAGACATGAAATGGAATGTGAATTTTCTGCCCATAAATGGTCTTAACTTACAAGGATGTTTCTTTTTCTTTTCCTAATAGAAATACCCTGTGTCAAGAATAACCTACTGCTGTCAAGGTGCTTATGTTGCTGTTCTTTGTGATGGGTAAGAATAAATGGAGTAATGGCTAAAATCATCACAGCTCCTGCAAAGGCAAGAGCAGCTTTCCCTGTTGGCTGTCCTAACTTTCCCCTAGCCTGCAGTACTTGGTACTGTGGGTCTCCGAGCATCCCAGGCATGCCTGTGGCCTCACAGGGAGCCTCTGAGTCCTTGTTGTACTTGGTCTGAGTGCAGAGGTGAGTGCGAGGGGCACCCAGCTTAGTTAAGTTTTGCAGACTTTGTGATGCCTTTACCTCGCAGGAGGAAACGCAAGACTACGATGCACTGCTCGGTGCTCAGGATGTCTCCCTAAATCACTGTGCCTGACCCGTGTGTTTTTATTCAGGGTGCTGTGGTGACGGAGCGGCCAAACTTCTGTTACTGTATTCTGCTCCTGTAAATGGGTTCAGCCATTCTGTTTAAAACCACAGTGTTGCTTCAGTTTAAAACTGTGGAGAGGTTATGTTGGCTTTTGGGTTCAAATGTACGTGTTTGCCTAAGGAGAGAGTGCTTGGGAGCTGAATGGCCTAAGCACTGAGGAGGAACCTTACAAATCCGACTGGCAGGGAAATGTCTTGTGGGGATGGACAAGCCTTCTTCCCCTCTCATTCCACAGCACCTTAAGCCTGCCAAGGAGGCTGTTCTTCCTGACAAAAGCTTGCCAACAGGAAAGGGAGAGATTGCCAGAGCTGACTGTACAGTGAAATCAGCAATCTGTCCCCTCAGTGGACTTGCTCTTCACCGGAGCAAGGAGCCTTAGCTGCTTCCCATCAGGCTTTCTGCATGGGCATCCAAACTGGCCCTGGAAGGGGAAGCCATGTCAGCCGAGGGCTATGCCTGTGTCACTTGGCCCAGGGGCTGTGCTGTGCTCTGCATCAGGCTTTCATTTCCAGCTCCACAGCCCAGCGTTTCTAACTAGTGCTGTCATGTGGACCTGGTAGGCAACTCAGGAGGGAGCTGAGCTGTCCTGCCTGGCACACTGGGAACCTGTCTGAGGGAGGTTGGGAAGCTCTACACGTAGAGGCTGTGGCTGTTAGAGGAGCGAGTGCTGATGGAAGAGGTGGAGATGAGTGCAGTGCCAGAGTCCTATTCTTCAGCCATGTCAAGGTTTTCCTGTCCCTCTCATTCCCTCCTCCCCTCCCCGGCATGTAATTCCTTTCCTGTTTTATTTTGACCGGTGCTCAGCTACATGTTCTTTCAAGTGAAGCCCTGTAGGTCACTGTGCTATGATGCAACACTCCTTATATAAATCCTTAGTAATCCTTATGAAATTCCCTTTACAACCTTTTTTTTTTTTCTTTTTTTTTTTTAAAGAAAAGGCAGCGTTGACTGCTTTTTCTTTCATATAACACTTGAAAAGCCATTTGACATGTTAGGTATTTACAGCTTCTGTCTCAAATCACATAAGCAAACTGCACTTGAAGTGCTAGGGTATTTTTTGCAATTCCTAATGACTTTGCTTTGGCTCTGTTTGGAATTAGAGTGGGTGTTTGCAGTTTGCTGTACAAGTGATGGCTGTAGGTGGATTTGGTTATAATAGTAATTAAGTTTTTCCTCTCAAAAGTATTCCCACAGTCTACATCTTTCAGCTTGATGCCATTGCCCAGCAGCTAGTTTACAGACAGCAAATCTCTTTGAAACATAAAGTTTGGGACATTGCATTTGAGGAAACGGGAAATCTATGGATTTTGGAGGAAGACAGTGAAGCTCCTCTTCAATTGTACAGACCATGTGATGGACAGTGGAAGGTAGATAACTTCTGTTATGCTAACATCCCTATGTTCCATGAAAGCTAAATGGCACACTTCTCTATGTCTTGAGACTGAATAAAAGTCGTAGATACACATCTCATTCTACTTCTCTCACCTGTGTATAACACAAAGCTGCTGAGAGCTTGTCATGAAAACCAGTCTCTTCTCTGGTAAAGCTAACATCTGGCATATCAGGATCAGACAGAGTAGTTGTCAGCTGTTGCACTCAGTACTTTAAACCATTGCCTGTGCTTTCTGTGTGCTACACTTGATTATTTAAAAAAAAACCAAACCAACAAAATCCCTTTGTGCTTTGCTCAAGAATGCTTTCCACACAGCCTTTCCTGTGCCTGCCTCTCGAGGGATCCTTTGGGGGCAAGGCATTCTGGAAGCATTAGGGGATTTTTTTTTTTTTTTTTTTCATTGAGAACAGGGAGTCAAATTTGAGGGATGTGCTATCAAGTTCTCTGTAATAGCCTATTAAACAACTGGAAACTCACTTGTTATCCATATAAGTCCTCAGTTAATGATGGTGTAGTTGTGAAGTGGTTTTAAATAAAACTTTCTCTGACCTTTTTGTGTTCCTCGTGATATTCCTTTTCCTCACAGATAGTAAGTGGGAATCCATTTTCTTTTCGTTCAAGCCACAAAGCTTCCCCAGCAGAACACATGATCTCAGGCCAGGTTTTTGTAGCAGTCCTGGAAAAAAGGAGCCTAAAAGACATCGTGAAGGGCTTACACTTGCTCTCGTTTCACTGTACTCATATGAGAGCTGTTGCATTTTCCAGTGTGCTGTGAAACATGAGATTGTTTATTATTCCCAAAATGTCATGCAATGTTCCTTCTTTTCCTAGCCTGTAACTGATGACGAAGGATTACAGAAGATGTCAAAACATCTTCAGGACAACTGGACAGTGTTTGAAGGTGAGAAATTTGGCCTAGAGGCCCAGGAAATGCAGTTTTTACAGCTAAAGCATAATTTTTAGGAGCAAAATCAGAGTTCAGGTCAGCTCAGCTGGCTGTTGAAGTCACTTTCAGTTTTCTCAGTTTCATCACTCCATCTGGTATGGAAGTTAGTGTAGATCATGAAGTGTGTTCAGGTTACTGTTACAACAAAATGGTGTAGGTATTTAGATCAGAATTACAGCATTATAGCTGTTTTACCTAGGCACCTTATCACAGGGCTGTATCTGAACACCCTATGACAGAGCTGCTGGAGTCTGTCTTACTGCTGTAATATTGAATACTGTTGTTTGTGGTCTTGTCTCTTACTTGGGCATGACACTTTATCAGAAATACAGCAGAGATAGTAAGAATGGAATAGTCATGGGAGGAGCAGCTTTGCTGTAAAGATGGGCCATTTGGGTCCACTTTGGCAAAGCAGATTATGTGGAGCTTGTTGTGGCTGGAGGGTGTGACCCTGGATGGTATCATCAGGGGTGAAATTGATTGCTGTGAGGGCTGGTTCATTTTGTTCTTGATTTCTGCCCCACCTCCAGTCTCTGGCAGAAAAATAATGCATGGTTTACTAGTTCAGAAGCACCCTATGTTTCCAGGATTTTTTGTATTTAAAAACCATCAAACTTTATTTAAAAGCTGAAATTAGGGCAGTGATGGCTGCAGGGTAGAGAAGGGTTGTGGCATGCGCTAGCATATGTCTCATTATGTATTGAGAGTTGATTAATTGAAATGTCTCTCCTGTACTTTGCTGCGAAACTGGGAACCTTCTTCCTTAAAAAAGGTGTTACAGTCCTCACTGGTCTCTTGGTCTGTTCCTGGTGGTCATACATAAAGGTGATTAACCTACATAGATGGAATTGTTGCAGGAATGGGCAGTCTAATGGAAAGTCTCCTTGATATCTAGTATTGTATGGTTTAGGGTGTATCTGTCATTAAGTTGGTCATTAAGTTGTCATTAAGTTGGTACAGTCTTTGAAATTTAAGAGGAAGTCAGGTACTCCTTTAGAAGGGAGATTGTTTGCATGTAGATGTTGCAGACTTGATAGTTACAGCCAGGCAGATAATTAGAAGTATGAGGTCTGAGTGAAAATGAGCAACAGAAAAGTAAAAAGAGCAGGCAGGGGAAGAGGTTCTGAGCATAATTAGCCAGTGTAGCAAATTACTGTGGTACACGGTAGCTGGCTGCATCTGCAGATGGGAAGGGAGGACTGCTCAGATGACAGGGTCTATTATTGTTAATTAGTAAGGGCAGGCTCACTTGATGAGCACTTATGCTAGTGCATAATTAATGCTTGAAAAGGTAGTTACTTCTTTTAAAAAAGGTGATCATTATATTGTTTAAAGCCAGTCTTAATGCCTGTATATCGTCCTTTTATAAACTTGTTTCACCTGATTGATGATTCTGTAGCATTTAAGATGCGTAGGTCAATCTTGAAGTACACGTTAAACACTTTGACATTCTATTATAACTGATCTCAGAAAAGATAGAGCAAGATTCAGTGCAGATTGATCAAGTAGAGAGCAGCATGGCTATTCAAACTGACAACACGCAATTTCTCCCAGGGCCAAAGGCCAATAAATTGGTTACTATGCCAGTGCAAGACCCTCAAAAGTAAAGGCATGCGCTTTGCTGAGTACCAGTGAGGGAAAGTTGTTTTGTTTGTGTACCAAGAAACAAGGGGACGTTGTATGTACATTACTGTGGGGCAGCACACTAGCTTCAGGACCAAACCCTAGCAAATACTGGATTTCCTTGCATTTGCCCTTTAAGATTGAGAATTTGGGGAAGTGGGAAAAGGTAGGAGTACAAAGAGAACTAGAGGTAACTGACTTTGTCAGGTACCACTCTAAAATTTTTTTGAAATGTGGACCTAGCCAACTAGTCTTATTCTGTATTCTCTACAGAAACAATCTGTTCGGGGTTTTTTGGAAAGTAGTTAGTTCCCCTGTTAAACTTGTCTAAACTTACAGTCTTGGAGATGGTGTGTTGAACATTATGCTGGGTTCACAGAAGGTGTAACAGAACCATTGGGGTGGATATTTAGAAATGTGTATGTGCTGTAGGACATCACTATTTGAAGTCTACTTCTTTAAGCTTCTTTTAATACTCTAGGAGGCAAGTTAGCTAAGCATAGTTCAGTAGCATATGCCCGTTGCAGTGCTTAAGTCTTGGGGAACAACAAGTGGTGACAGCAGTCATTTTAAAACAGGAACCTTGAAGTTCTGCAAGTGTCCAACATGTAAAAAGAGCTGTGTGCCCTCTTTGCTTGAATGTCAGGTGCTTGCCTCTGCGAAATTAAAAATGGAGGCTGTGCTTGGCTGTGTGAATGCAGGACAGATGCTTACCAACACAAATCAGGCTTACACAGTGCAAATGCTGATATTAAGTAAAGTGGATAGGACCACAGTAAATGAGTTGAAATGCCACTATCTAGAATTACAGTACAGGAAGTAATTGGTGAGACTGCTAAGGGAAATAACACTTGTCTTGTGTTCTTGCTTTGCCCAATTGCAGGTTTTGTTGGTGCAGAGAGCCACTACAGCAGTCTCTACAAGGCTTCATTTGATAACATGGCTGCCTACCTACAGAGGAAAGAGGAAAGGTTACAGCAGCAGAAAAAGAAAAGGCAGGATCTGCAATGTGGTTCAAATGGACAAACAAAAAAGATGAAGACTGAGGAATCATTGCTATGACACTTGTTAGCTTGTAACTTTTGCCTTGCTGAGAACTGATCTGACTGCAGACTGTTTTTAAATGTAAAATGAATTACGGAAGGAGACTGGTTTAAACTTTTATTCAGATTCAGGTTTTCAGGTAGCCTGATATGAAAAGATCCTGCTTGCAGCAGATAATGTGTTTACAATATGCTTAAGCTTCTAGCAGCATACAGGTGTTAGTGGTTCAGTCCCAGGAATCTCTAAGGCATGATAGATGAATATTGGAAATGGTATTTTCCTTGAAACAGGATTTTCTTTTTGCCTACTGTGTTCAGGCTTTCTTCTGCAGGTGGAAGTGCACAGATTAAAGTTGATGTGATTTTTTTTTGTTGTTATTTGTTTCTTTTGGGTTTTGGCTTTTTTTTTTTTTAACTTTTTAAAAGGTCTGTTAGTTAATGTAGCTAACTTACTGTACCTGGCTATGGGAAAGGGACTGTAGCGAAATTGTTGCTGTATATGAAAGCTTTTAGCTGAGACTTTGCCATCCCTGGTTTTACCCTTTACCTTCAGTTTATATGGTAGGGATTCTGCCTAGCTTCTAATCCATTGCTTCTTACTTGTGGCTTATTTCTATAGCAAGAAGTGCAAAAATAGATTTTATACACTGGAAAGTAAAAGTAAAATATGTCAGTCAACTTCGTGTTATTGGAAGATCCTTCTGTTACAGTATGATCCTGGTGTGTCTGTGAAAACGATTTGAGTGTCCGATGTGCAAAGCCTGGAGTGCATTCTGCTTCTTTCAAGAAGTCTTTCATGTTGCAATTAGCCAAAGAATACATCTTATTGAAAAGTTATCAGTAAGAGCCTTATGGGATCACTTGTTGCTTCATCATGGGGCAGAAGATAGCATTCATCTACCAGATGGCATCATGTCTATATGGAATATAATGTACTTCATAAAACCAGGTGCAGAAATCTGTACAATTGATTAAAATTATTCAGAATTAGCTCATGAACCGTGAATAGTTCTCTAGGTCTCTATATAGCTGTCCTCTTTGGAGTATCTGGTCATTTAAAAATTTTCACTCAAATTTTGGTTACACTGATGTGTAAGACATTGTTGAGATGTAGCTTGTTTTGAGAATAGCAGGTATACAGCAGAGAAGCAGAACTTGCTGCTTATGTCTGCTCAAAATTGCAGCCTTTGTCCTTACTATGTGTCCCAGAGGCCACAAGTCTTTCTTGTGCTGTAGGATATCACATGGATTTTCATATTACTTCTATTTGGAATTGCCTTCTTAAGCATAGAGCGTTGCCTGCATTAGTACAGAGGCAGTCCTTCACCTCCATAGTCTGGTTTCTTCCAGTGATTACCTCTAAGTAAAGAGCCTTCTGCCTTGGCAAAGGTCTCTTTGGACAAAAATTGTGAAGTGTCAAGAGTGGTATTGTCTGTTCCAGTTAAAAGTCTTAATTCTGGCAGGAGCTGCCTTGGCGCAAATAAAATGCGAAGTATTTTCTACTGTGTGTGCAGTTACGTGATGTAAGAATGCAGTGTCACATCGACAAAGATTATGGTCTTGTGTAGCAGTTCAGCCCCCTCTGCCCAATATCCACATACCAGTGATCTGAGGCATCTTGTTTGGGTATCACCTACTCAGTTGAGTGCTCCTGGATTACGCTGGCCCTTAGACAAAGGAGAGTGTGGTAGGTAGGCATGTTTGGGCTTGACGAGGAGTTTTAACCCCTCAGGTGCAATAACCCTTTTATTAGAGAGTCTACTGAGATAAACGGACCTAACTTTACATAATGTGGAACAAACAATTTTGAGCTGATGTGTTTTTCTGTCTTTCAAGAGAGTGCCTGAACCACCAGGCTGGCTTGGTGGAGTGGCTCACTGGCTGTCACGGCAAAGAGCTGGCCTGGCGTGGAGGCTCATCCCTAGGACAGGGTTAGCGTCTGAGCATGCTGAGTGCCTGAAGGCTCTTGTGCTACCTGGGAGTCCTTGCTGTTTCCTAGAAGTTGGCTTGGGTAGTTTCTTGGTTTGTACTGTGACTGGTGAGGACCACGTTCTCATACACGCAGTGCCCTCCTTGCGCTGGGAAGGTGGTATCTCTACCTTAGCTACGCTGTATTAGGAGTAATTATTTCTGCAGTGCATCATGGTATATGTGTGCATATGTGATGCCATATAAATGGAGCAAATGCTTTGATGTTGAGTGTTATGAGTCCATGTGCATAAACAAAACTCGTAGAGGAGGAAAATCTTCTGAGGACGACACAGGTAACTGCTTTCAGTGGGTTGGTCACAGATCCTAGATGGGGTTTCGGCATGAACGTTGGTATTGTTACACCTCTAAAGGACAAGAGACTGCAATGTCAGCAGTTTCTATCCCCAAGGGATGTTTTTCCCCAGCCGTTTTCTCAGCGCAGGATAGACCTTGGCAGTGATCTTCACTGGCTGTGGGGTACTCTTGTGATCCTCACCCTGCCTGCTGTCCTGGAAGAAACCCAAAATTTCTTCCAGTGCTTGAATTGATGACAGATCGTGGCATTTGGGAGTGAGATGAGATGTGATATCTGGCAGATGATTCAGGCCTTTTCGTTCTTTTTCCTTTCCTTTCCTATTCTATTTCATGTTTCCTTTTCTGCATGCAACAGTTCCTGAGCTTAAGTTGTGAGCTCATGTGTGTCTGTGGACTGTGTTGAAGGGGTCTGTGAAGTGATCAGAGAAAGGAAACTTGCTGGAAGGTCTAAATCCGCTGTAGTGTGCCTATACCTTGAATGGGAAATGGTTAGACACCCGCAAATCATTAAAAAGGAGTGAATACCACTACTACAGAGAGTGAGACAACACTCCTCTCCCTGGTATTTGAACTATTTATTTCTAGTGGTTAAACCTGGTGTCGCTTGCTTGCATTTATTTTCTGAACTTGAACCGAAGCATGTATGTGTGCCTAGCAAAAAGGGGATGCATCAACGAGGGTGCAGTTTTATAGCAGAACTGGGAATGGTCAAACCATTGCAAGGGCTGTTTGTAGGCCACATAAGTTCACCCCACACTGCGCTAGACCTTTTTGTGGTGATTGTGTGACTCCCCTGCGTCTTCCCTAAGCACTGACAATTCAAGGAGCCTTTAAAAATGCAGGTAAGGAAAGGAAAAAGTTGAAGCAATAATGAGTTTCTTTTCCTCAGTGTTTTAAACCAAAACATATGCTTCCTACTCCTGTTGCTGGGATTTCACCAAAACCCCTTCAGCAACACATTGTTGAACAGAGTGACTTTTCATCTGTCCTAACAGGAAGGAATCCTAATCAAATGCAGCCCAGTAGCATGCTTTAGAACAGTCCTTACATTTTTAACAAAACTTTGAAAGCATATTTACTCTATAAACAAAAATGTTCCTTTATGTAAAAAAAAAATAAATTCCCAGTACACTACAGTTGCTTTACCTTCAGGCTAATAAAAAGTTGCTGCCAATTTCGATACACTCCAAAGTCTGCTTCAGCTTTTTTTGCTCTTTGCTGAAATATTTTGTTTGAAGTGCTTTGATCTGACAAGGAAAAGCCCTATGGGCTTAACTCTTTCTGGTTGTCCCTGCTGCCATCAGTCCTGGTGATGTGGTGTGATCGAGGCTGGGATGACTCAGCTGAGTTGTAATTCACAAATGAGAAAAAACAGGCTGGACATGATTTGTCAATAGTTGTAGATGCAAAGGCTGGAAAGAAAAATTATTAGAGAACTGAATGGCTTTGGAGGCCGACAGATCTCGATTTCCAATGTGTTTGCACAAGTTACTGTGCATCTCTGAACACGGGGGTTCTGGAAAGTCCTGCAAGAACTAGAAGTGAAGGTTCTTCCACTCCTGAAGTGGGGCATTGCTCAATAGCCCACATAGCACTTTTTTACCCTTCTGCACATCCCCTTCCCTCGTTCAGGTCAAGGTCGGAGTAGAAATTCTGTGGCAAAAACCTCTCGGAGACTAACGTGACTAGAAGCCAAAGGAGCAGCTGAGGGATAAACCAAGGGCAGCAAGGAGATGAAACGTCCCTGCAGAAGGTAGGGACCTGCATGTGGAGGCCACAATTGAGGGCACACCTGTATGCAGGTGTGGGTAGGAGGCTCTCGCAGGTCAGTGCCGAGTTCCCTGGCACGTGGCTGCTTTGAGCAGGGCGCAGAGCTCTGGTGTCCACCCTGCCACTCAAAAAAAGAACGCTCAGGCTTTCTGCTCTGCACTACGATTCGTTTTGTCTTTTGCTTTTCTCCCCAGCATCATCCTTTGCTTCAGGCTGAGTCACCCACCCCAGCAGGGGTTTGCAGCACTGGCAGTTCTTCTCCTGGGCACCTTTAAGCACAAGCCCCATTTCGGTGCTGAGGTCCCCGAGCAGCAACTTTATGGTTTGTGGCTGGAGCTGGAGACGCCATGCCCAGCGTGCAGGCAAGTGTGCAGTCACCACTGGTGGTGAGGTGCAAGCCTCGTGTAGTGTGTGACATTTGGCAGTCCTATAATGCAAGGCCACCGTGTCCTGTAGGGATTAGCAGCTAAAATCTATCAGAGCTCATCTCCAAATTGAGCTACCCTGGCTATGAGTGCCTTGGAGACTGGACCACAGCAGTGAGTAACCATTAACATGGCAGAAGACTGTTTTGTGTGACCTGATGCTTTGTCTTCAAGAAAGCTTACAGCATCAGCAACATACTTCTTTTAATACTATATTTTTTCCCCCTTGTTTTTCTGTTAATAAAGATAATGGATGCGTTTGCACATGCATAAGACACATGTTCCTGTGTGCATAATCTGAACATCCAAGAGTGGCTACGCCCCATTTTCTGATCAGTACTTACAACCTTGAGTCTCAACGACTTTCAATAAATTTTATTAGAGTCAGTGGGACTGACGTTCATTGGATATGGAAGTTAGGGACTGTTGGTTGTTTAATTCAACTTCTAATTCAAACAGTACATTATAGTCAGGTATGTGTATTAACTCCAGAGAATCAGCACAAAGCAAATACACATAGAAGCAAATATGACAATAATGCGGTCATGGAGTCCGCCTGCTTGTGTTAACAGCAAAGCTCGAGCTCTCGATCGAAAAGCTTTGTACACTTGCTCACTTGTCTGAGATTGATCAGATTTACATCTATAAGCAGGATATAGTATTTCTGCATGTTGCCCATAGGGATAAAAAGAAGAATTTAATAGTCTCATCTGGAATGGAAATGTTGATTTTGGAGTGTCAGACCTGGTCATATATATTTATAAATATAAAATCATATATATATATAAACACAACGAACAAAAAATCCCCAACCATTAGTAGGAGACCTAAACTGCTTTCTAACACGAAGTAAGGAGACCC